TGCCCCCAACAGCTGTATAAAATGCAGGCTGGCTCGCTCAGAAGGACGAGGGGCGTGCGATTGATTTTCAAGAGTGGCATCCCTTGTGTATCCTCTGCTGACTGCAGCTGATCCTGAGCAGCTGCAAAGGGGGAGTATGGACCTGGGAAGATAAATAAAGGGGCTTGAATTTTTGCCTTGTTTTCTTAGCATCTGGAGGGGCCTGGGGTTGGGGCTTGGTCTGGGCTTGCTTTGGGTTGTTGTGGTTGTTTCTTGAAGGATGTTTCCTAAGCTAGCTTTATGGACAGGGCAGATTTTGTTTAAAAGTAAATGTAGGATGATATTCTAGCACCTGGGCAGTCCAAAGCCAGCTGGAGCAAGAGCTAGGATGTGGTTGCTGGGTGGGAGGTAAAGGCTGTGATGGGCCGGGTGCTTTTGTTCTCTGTGCTGTCTGATGATTCGCACTCCTGGATTTGTGTGTCCTGGCTGTTTTCCTCCCTTTTTTTCTGTCCACTTTCTGTTACTTCTGTGTTAATGTCTTCTCCACCGTTGCCTTTACCAAAGACAAGCCCGAATCAACGATATGCTGGCTCTGGACACCCCAAACTTAATTTGGACTCAGGTTGGAATTTTCTGCAATTTTGGGCTCGTCTCTGCTTCTTCACTATTCCTTCTGTTTGCCCCTAATATTTTTCCCTTGAAGAAACGAGATGATTGGAGCCCAGAGAACCACACCCCTTTCCAAAACGAGTGCTTTGTGTCCAATTTTTCATAGGCCTTGCCCAGATAAGCAGTGGGAGGTGTGGATCCTTTCCAGCATGGGTGCTTATGTGCTAAATACCAAGTGGGAACCTGACCATAGGATTCAAGTGCTTGTGTCTGCACACTGGGTCCCAGCTGACTTGGTTCTGAATTGTCCGTCTCTGAAGTCTTCAGACCAACAGACTGCAGGCAGGCACTTACACGTGGCATGGAGAAAACAGGGAGGATGGTACAGCTCACTGCCATTTGCCTGTGAAGAACCAAGGGCGTGTCTGCAAAACTATTGAGTTTGGGCTGGAAGAGAAATAGAGCATGAAAGATTATACTGCTGATCCCCTGCAGCGTGGTATCAGCAAAGGACAGGTTCCTGCATATGACCATCTTCCTATTTATAACTTGAGCAGGGTGAGTGTGTGACATGGCAGACGGCCTTCAAGTAGCCAATGCTACCAACTCGGAGCAGTAGAAAACTTAAGGGTATGACTACATTGTGTAGCTTTAAGTGAGCTAGCTCTGGTCCTGTGAGCAGTGTCGCTGTGGCAGTATAAGCTCATTGTAGGCTGCACAATCTACCCAGGAAATTAAGTACTTAGGTGGTTAGTCTGAGCTGGGCATGGTGCTGTGGTGGCCCCCTACTGCCATTATCTAGTTAATTTAAAGCTGGCTTGGAAAAACTGCACTACGCTTGTGGCTAGACTGTAACTTTAAACTGAGCTTTCCTTGACCAAGCATCTTTGGCTTGGCCCCTGAATACTAGAGTACTGAATGGAGAGAGAGCAGTAAGCGTGGTCCACCCTCCCACATAATGTGGTTCTGTGGCCATTAAGGTTGTAGCCTGCTTTTTGCGCTATTGTTTTCTTATCCACACTTGGATTTCCTTCCTTCAGATTAGGGATGTGCTTTACATGCTGGCTGGACTCGGTGAATCATCATTCAGTAGTCTCAAAGGAAAAGTGGAAGCATTGGGACATGGACACTGCTCCATCGCTGCTCTGTGACACAGTGTGCAGCATTGCTTCTTGGCATTCAGAACTGAAGGGGTAAATCACAGGGCGGCAAGTCTTGCGTATGCCTTGTGTCTTCCAGAGCAGAGGGAACCCTGCTCCTAGACTGGATTTCCTGGGAGGTCACCACCTGGTCTGCAAGGGCAGAGCTGGAGTTCAACTGGAAACGGTTGTGTTGTTTACCTTGCTGCCTCTCGGGGTTTGCGGGTGCCGTGATGGCAGTTCCCAACCAGCCCTGTGCTGGAATCACCAGCTGGTCATCCCAGGAGACATCCAGTGTCCTCACAATGAGGACTTGCTCACTGCCTGACCTATTCCCTGCAGCCTGCCTTGCCTGAATCTCCCCTCTTGTTCTTTCTCCTCAGCTGGGGAATCCCACTTGGCATCACAGTGGCTGCTGTCGCCTTGAAAAAGATCGGTTATGATGCATCAGATGTGTCTGTGGGATGGTGCTGGATCAACCTGGAAGCAGAGGATCGGGTCCTTTGGATGCTGTTGGCGGGGAAGGTCTGGGAGATTCTGGCCTACCTCATCTTGCCAGTTCTCTACATCCTCATCAAGAAACACATCAACAGAGCGGTAGGTACCCTGGCTGCTTTCATTTTGCAAGGATTTATTACAACTGCATCTTTGCATGCTTAGAGGACCTCAGGAAGCTAGATAGACAGGAGCCCCTTCACTTGTTGCTGAAAACGTAGCCGTCTGTGGGGAGCAACAGTGCAGCTGATTTAACAGCACACAGCAGTGCCATACAGTAATTCAGCATGGGACGAATGCAGTAGCCATCTAGAAGCTCTAGAGGATCCAGGACAGAGGCAGGTAGAACAAAAGTATTGGAATAGGAATTGATCAGGACTTTGAGGGCAAAATCTGATCTTGGTCTAACTGGATCCTGTCTACCCCTGGACAGGCAGAAGTTGGGATGCTTCTCCCAGCTACTTGTAAACTGGATGCCCCCTCTGCTTTCAAGAAGGCAGCTTTCCTGGCATAAGCCAGGCATCGCCTGGTAACGTCTGTGTTGGAAATACTGGGGAATGGGTTTCCGAGGCCGAGAGAGAGAGAGAGACAAGGAATCAAAATGGGTTTGCTGCTGCCAATCACTAGTCGCCCATCTGTAAACTAGAAGGGACTCTGTGTTCCAACAGCTGTCAGATGCCGGCGTGACCGTCTGGAAACCCAATCCGCACCACCACCCCCAGGCCCTCACCCCTGTGCTCTGTGCCAGAGATTTTCAGCCACTCTCTCCCTTTCATGCTCTGGGCTCTGATTCCTCTGCAGGGACAGAGCTGAATGGAGGCAATTGTCATCTTGGTAACTGGGTTCAGAGAGCCCACACGAAGCCAGCTGGACTGTATACTTGCTCCTCTCCCCTCCAAAGCCTTTTCCAGTTGCATTGCACCTTTGAGCTGTATTGAGGCTTGAGCCCTTTTATGGAAGCCCTTCCCTAAAGGGTGCTTGGAAACAGTGGTGAATGCCTGTGCTGGGCCCGGAGCTGTTTGGAAGCCAGGGTGGGTTTACCAGGCAGCTCCCTCCTGGTGTGTGGTGCAGGTGGTATTGTGGGGGCAGCTTGGTTGTGACAGAAGGCTCACTGGGTGCTTTCCTCCTCACCCCAGTCCTTTCCCACCTCCTACCCCCTTGAGGCGGCAGGAGCTGTACAGGTGGCTCTCCAAGGGGGTCTGACTCCTCGGTGCCATGTCATCTCGGCTGCACAGAACTTTCCCAGGGCAGTGACCTGATGTGGGGAGGGCTGCGACTGTGGAGGTGAGCAGGGCAGGCTGTAATGATAAAACTGTGTGCTCTGCAGGATGGGGCAGGCAGGCCTAGGTTACAAGGGAAAAAGTCTTTTGGGGTATGCAGTACCACTGCCCATGTTAGCTCGTCAGAGTGGTCTGCAGGCCAGATCCAGATTCCCTGTGTTCAGTGGGTGGAGGGATGCAAGAAGGGTTGAGCAGATGCCTACACCCACAGAAAGTACCTGCCTCTGACCTGGGGGTAGGCAGCAGGTATTGTTTATGTGGTGCTTTGGACACTTGTAGGTGCTGAAAAAACATAGATTGTTTTAAAAGGCTGGGGGTTCTTGCTGCCTCTCACATGCTGAGGGTCACTGGCTCAGGCCTTTCTTGCTGCCAATTTGTCTAGGCAAGTACCAGAAGCAGTCTGACTGCTTTAGTTTGGAGCTCTGTCCAGAGTAATTAGCCCCCTTTAGAAAGAAGGTAGATGAGCTTCGAACAAACGCTGTGATGTGTGTCTGCTGTTTCTGGCACCTGAGCTACCGCAGGTGTCTCTCCATAGTGCTGCACCCAGAGAGAGCAGTGATGTGAGACGCACACAATGTGGCTCAAAGTATTTCTCCTGCCAGAAACTGGAGCACCGGAGGTGCGGTAGTGGAAAGGGCAGGTGTGGGTGTGTGGAGCAGTGGGAAGTGTGGATCATGGTAGGAGCTAGGGAGGATTCAGATGAGTTTAACCAGGGTTAGAGACACTTCAGGGTAAGGAGAGGAGGGGCAGTGGTTGCAGCTTGCCCTTGCTTGTTGACTCAGGCAGGTACTTGCTTAAATCAAAGTGATTCCTACTTGATTAAATCAAAGTGATTCCATTGACTTGATTTTCAGTGGGCTTTCCATGGACATGGGAGGAGGGGGCACAGAAAGGCTGAAAAGCCCTCCCATTCTCAAATAGTGGGGGAAGAGCACTTGGTAATTATGGCTCTAGACTGGGTTTCAAGAGGCCTGGATTCAGTTTCTGGCTGTGCTGTACAGTTCCCAAAGCAGCGCAACCCCCTGGAAGATGGTATGGGGTGTGTTAACAGCGCTCGGAGAAGGTCTGGCTTCCAGCTGCCACGTGACGTCAGTGTACAATCACGCAGAGCTTTTGCAGGGTAATGACCTGACGCTGGCAGGGCTGCAAGTCGCTTCAGGCCAGACTTTCTGGTACAAATCTGCTTATGTCCACTGGCTTTCGTGGATCAGTGCAATTTACACTGGGTGAGAATTTTGGCCCTTAATATCTCCGGCTGCTTGCAGAAGGTTAAAAAAAAACCCCAAACCCCACAAAAAACACTGTGCTTTACCAGAAGCAGAACCATGTTAGTTCAGCCTGGCTCCACAGCAACTGTAGTCAATCAGTTGTTAGATAAAAGCACCGAAGAAGCCCCACCAAAGTACGCGATTTATACAGGCGTCAGACAGGCTGGGTCCATCTAACATAGTACCTCTGCTGGGCACGTGTCGGGCTCCGCTCGGGAGTGCATGGAATTAAACCGACCCCCCTGGCACCTTAGATGTCTGCAACCAGCGTCCGTGCCTCGTTTACCCATCTGCAAAAGGGGAGTAATGCTTGCTGGCAGCACGTGGGATGTGTTTAGGGTTCTTGTGCTCCAGTGGTGGTGGTCAAAAGCATTTGGATAGACAAACAGCCCTTTGGCAATGGTGTGGGCAGTAACGTAATGCTTTGGCCTTACCACGTGCTCTTATCTGTAGGTATTGGCTTCACCAAAATGGGTTAATACTACCTCTGTTTCACAGGGTAAACTGAGGCCTCCCTCTATGCATTACATTCATGCCACAATTTACCTGTACGTTGCGGAGCTCTGACTGGGTGGGTCTGAGCACTGCATCCGTTTTGAGGTCCTGGTGAAATCCCCAGAACCAGCGGATTGTGGGCCCAGCTGGAACCATACCAGGGCTGGTTTCAGACCCTGGTGTGGTCCCTGGGCTGAGCTGACAATCAGCTGATTATCAGGCACCCAGTTTTCAACCCGCCAGTGTAGGGGGAACCTGGTATTGTGATCCCAGGCTCACCTTATGCTGGCCAGTATGGTGCAATTGTTGGGATAGGGTATCGGATCCCATCACGCCTTTAAGTGAATTCAGTTTCTGGCTGTGCTGTACAATTCCCAGAGCAGCCCAGCCCAGCCTCCTGGAAGATGGCATGGGCTGTGTTAACAGCTCTTGGAGGTCAGGGGCATGAGGCTTGTGGAAATGAAAGGTCTTGATCTAAGGCCATGCAACACCTTGGTGGCAAAGTTGGTCCTGGAACCCAGGTTTCTTGGCTGCCAGCAAATCTGTATGGAAAGCATTGCCCATGTTTACACGGCTCTAGCCATGACTGACTTAATCGTGTAGCGCCATAGGTGTATGCATGCTCTTCCTGCAAAAGACCATGTATCCCATTTTGTGCCTTCTTCGCCTGGGAAGCTCCCTTCAGTTGGTTGTGTCCACGAGGGTTGAATTTGGCATTCTCTCTCTCTGCTCTCAGGAGCACAGAGGTAGCTTAGCTGGAGTTACTATGTCTTTCCAACCATCTTGAGCCTGCCTCTTGACTGATGGTCAGTGCATGGCAGATTGCAAGGAGTTAGTTTGGTTTGGAAAGAAGGCACTGGTTTAAGTATGCACAAGCAACTGGCTAGTAACTGGATATTGGACCTTTTTGACTTCCCATTACTTTCTGTTTGTTCACTTGTGGCTGCTTCTTTCCTTCGAAGCATGCGGCACTATCTGAATATCGTCCCATCCTAGCGAGAACACCTGCCTTTCAGCCCAGGACGTCCATTGCAGATAAGAAGCTGATCCTCATCCCTATCATCTTCATTTTCCTCCGCATCTGGAGCACCGTGCGGTTCTTCCTGACCCTCTGCAGCTCCCCTGCCGTGCAGAATTCCCTCCTGGTGGTCCTGCATGTGAGTGTTGCCCAGCTGGTGCTCTTAGTGGATGGGGCGTAGAAGCTGAATAAATTAGAGGTGGTAGCTTTGGGCAGGGTGGCAGGCAGGGCTGTGCGACTGACTGGTTAAGTTTTTTTTAAATGG